CCAGTGTAATCTACAACGCGCAAGTCACAACCAGCAACACAACCAAGAACTACATCGGACTGACAGAAGGAACATTCAAACAAAGATTCTCGCAGCACAAATCTACATTTAAACACAGAAAACACATCAACAGCACCGAACTTTCTAAGTACATCTGGCAACTAAAAGACAAAAAACAAGACTTCAACATCAAATGGACAATTATCAGCCGTGCAAGACCCTACAACAACATATCCAAACGATGCGACCTCTGCCTTACAGAAAAACTTATGATAATTAAATACAGTAACGACAATATACTAAACAAAAGATCAGAACTCATCTCTAAATGCCGACACGAAAACAAATTCTACCTGAAGAACACTTGACACCTCTACAGCCTATTGTATTCACACCTACGCAGTTTTAATTAATAGTATACTCTCCTTTGTAATCTTTACCTTCACACCTATTGTTTCTAACATAACTAGCACGTATTGTATGTAAATAGCCTAGCACTTAGCCTTTTGTTCTATACCATGTATATATATCTAGATTATAGGAATGTTTATCATTAAATACTGTCTGATGAGTGCGTAGCACGAAACTCGGGAAGCAAGAGAAACACTCGCTACGCTCGTGTTCCTAAGCTTGCTTCTCTCGTGTTTTTCAACTCCCACCGTGTTTATATCAGAGGACAGAGACACAAGTGGCCGTTTTATATTTCTTTTATAAAATTTTTCGGGCGAAAAGAGAATTTTGCCGGTAAGCCGTGTCTCACGGTCCTTTGATATAAACACGGTCGTCAGCCAATCAGAGCGCGCGTTATATATCAAAAATTTTATAAAAACCCCTATAAAGATTAGCCTTCTTCGCAGGCTACTCCATCAGAAACGGACATTTTTCTCTTCTTGGTCTTCCTGTGCTCATATTCCTGACCGAGAAGAAYTGGTGTCGAGAGATTAGGAACAGCCTTAACACAGGAATCCCAAGGAGAAGAGTTGCCTTCGAAGAGGCTATATAAAGATATCGAAAATGAGGGTGATTATTTGATATAGTTATGTAATCAGTGTTTATGTAATTAAAAGGGCCTTGGCTCTCTAAGTATTTAAAAGCAATGAAWCTGTGCWGAAAARTGTCGAAAACTGGTCGAAATAAAATAAGAAAGATAATGTGTGCGCGTAGAAGAAAATGTAAAGTAAAATCAATCGTTTTAGAGTACCGTATTTACTCGAATAGACGCCGCGGCGTTTATTTCATTTTTTACGATCTAGCTGCGGCGTTTATTAGAGGACGGCGTCTATTCGGGGACGTCGTTTATTAAAAAACACTTTATTCAGTACTAAATACCGTACTTTATATTGCATATTTTTACTAACAAACAATAACGATTCTCAATATATAAATGCCGTGTTCATTTTGTCGATTAAATTTATGATTTAAACCAGAGTCAAGCTTCTATTTCAACATCAATGTCCTCCTCRTKGTYGGAATCTAACWKCTGCTGAGAGCAAAAAAAATTACAGTCACTTCGAAATAAAAAATGTTCTAAATGAAAATAAATTTCCTTTGCTGGTATCATTATTTCCTCAAATTGACGCCGCACCCAGATGCGGCGTCTATTCGGGGGCGACGTCTATTAATAAGTGCGGTGTCTATTTGAGGGCGGTGTCTATTCGGGGACGGCGTCTATTCGAGTAAATACGGTATTATTCACATTAAATCGTGATCGCTGGCTTGAACAATTGTCACGTTCTCCGTCACCAATCAATTGAACCTAAAACGGACTATTCTAAGTCATGCCTATGCAAATCTTAGACAGTTAGAGAAAGTAATAAAGTACTAGTGCTAGGCAACTTCNCGGTCCCTGCACAAGACACAACAGATTGTGCACACGGGTCTATGCCGCCATCTCTGTTTTATGCACTTCATAGTTTGGGGTCTGTAAGGATGAGGGCATCGGTGCCTTCTGGGCCTTCGTCTAAATGGATCTGTATAACAAACAAGAGGAGTTCGTTATAAATAACTACAGCCTAATAATCACAAAAAAAAAAACAAAAAAAAAACAACAAATCAATGAGTAGTCATAGTGGCCAATACACATAGAGTTCAAACAGAGTTAGTGTATGTAATATATACAATATGAGTTCGCTTAGTGGCTTTAAACTCTCTTCATGGGTTATGATTTTTATTGTGTTTTGCCTTATGAATAGTAATGCRTTTTATAAGTATTTTTATAGTGTAATTACCTTCAAGGCCGTCATCGTCAGCATCAACTTCTAGCTTCGCCTTGGGTGATCCTATGTAGATGAACGAAAAAAAAAACATAAGTCATTATACTAAGTATGCTAAAGTAAGGGAACAGAAAGAGGGTGTGTCATGCAGGGCTCAAATTCAGAGTAACGACTAAGAAAGGATAAAAACTCAGACATTTAAAATGGAAATATATTGTTGATTAATCTCTCTTGAAATTATTATTGTTTTTTTTATGATTACCTTGATCATCGTCCTCTTCAAGTTTGCCAGCATCTTCCTCGTTAGCTTGTYCTACAAGTCAATTGAAAACGATATAAGTTTAAACTCCCACATTAAAAASTCTCGAAAACAATTCATTCTTCAGTTATTCTCACCTGGAGTTTCTTCCTCCTGTTCATCTTCATCTTCAGTTTTTGGTTCTTCTGGATTTTYGGAGTCTTCAGCTGGAGCAGCTCCAATGAAGGCAACRAGACCAAAGATCACGAGAAGAGTCAACGAGAGCTTCATGGTTGTCAGCAGTACAAAAATTACTCGACTGAATTCAAAGTGAAATAACTTGTTTTTTTATGCGTTTATTACCCATAACACTTCACGATGACAGTGTTAARGACGCTGTTACGTCACAATTGTTTATTGAAGATGCCATGAAACTCTTTTGTGTAGGAAGGCACTTCTTGTTTGGTTCCAGTAACTGAGTACTCATCCTGACTACGACTWATGGCAAGATGTACTCAATCGTAAAAGGCATTACGTGCCGTGTGTAGAAACCATGAAATTCGCTTAAAGTATACCGAATACCAAATAAACATGTACACATTTTTGAGATGGTATTTAGTTTCCGCTCTTTTTCATATAAAATCCGGTCCAGTTATAATGGCAACCCCCGAAGTGAAAATTTATCATTCGTTATTATTCGTTATTTTCAAAAACCAAGTAGCAAGTCATAAAGAGCATAGTCAGATTATCTAGAATACGAGATTTTAGTCCTGTAGCTTACTTTTCGATGAAGATATAAGCGAATAAAGATTTGAAAAATTTGGTTAATATTTATGGGAACGCCATCTTGGATGATAACTTTGATCATCCAAGATGGCGTCTGATTTTAAATTAACTTTAAAAACTGGTTTCCTTTAAAAATTTTGGTCAATTATGACTTAATTTATTTCAAAGAAAAATCACCTTAAGTGAGTTCTTCCGGAGTTGGAAAGAATGATTTATCTAATCTTGAAGTTTTTATTTACGATCTACGGTAGAATATAAATTAAACTCCGCACAAACTAAAACTTTTGTGTTTCGCCACCAAAGCGTTGAATTCGTATGAAAATTTGCATACACACTATTTAGWCGTATATKTAAGATATACTGTAAGAAGWGCTCTTTAGAAAAAATATCTTGGGTTTTTSGATATTTTTTGCTTGAGTATGACGTCACATGCAACCCACCAGCACAGCAGTACAGTTGTCGCGAATAAAGGTATTTCTTGGTACCAGGTTTTCCCTTTATTCCACAAAAAAGTTTATACCTGCTATCTGCGCAGGCAAACTATCATGAAAACAATACAGCATACACGGAGATTCAAACAACACAACTCTGTTTCAACTATATTTTCTCGTCAACGTTCTCGATGCATTTATGACATTRCAATGACTTAAATCCATGTAATTTTGGATTGCGTGCATTTAAAAAGTTATGTTACAGATGGATAAGCRCTTAAATATTCGGTTGAAATCACACCAAAACGCTACATGATTTTGGACACTAAACATCATTTATTAATAACTTGCGCTAGTAGAATTGCCAGAGGTCAAGTACATTCGTTGTACGAGGTCACTCAAGTTGATTAAATATAAACAACAAAAATTTGCATTTGAGTGCTCCGACTAAAAAAATCATATCTCGAAAAATAAAACATGTTTTTGAATAAAAACCACATAGGTGTTATTGGGCTACTAAATATAAACGTTTGGGCGAAATCGAATTTTGGAGCGTTGCCGCGAATTTTCGAATTTGTTTGATGCTTGCTGCATGACATCCTCTMTTAAAACCTTTAAAGTGCGCCTTTTTTCCAGTGCTGCTGTGCTCCCTTGGCTAGTTGAAGCCATTTCAAATTCTTCCAGAAATTGTAAAAGGTCCGTTATTTGAATTTGTCGTCTTTTTTTCCGAGTGCGAGTTGATGCGATTTATAAGCTCGTAATCATCATCTCATAATACTCATTCATCTCTATATGTTATATAAAATAGTTTTTAGTTATGCTAAAAAAGCTTAGTTTGTAAATATACTGTAAATTCAATTTATACTGATAAAAAGTCGTTTTCTAAAGTGTAAATTTCAATATTCTGTTCTTGTAAGTTTTACTCGATCAAATATTGTAAATATAT